CCCAACACATAGTGTTGTAGGGTATAAAAACCTGAATAATATTAATGACTTTAATGTATTTAATACATTGAATTTTTGTATTATGTTACTTTTTCAAATATATATATATATATATATATATATAATATATATAAAAAAAAACAAGTATATAAAAAAACTTGAACAACAATCAAATTTTTATTTTCTCTAATGTATTTAATACATTGAATGTAATAAAACTTGAGTACCTTTTTTATGTATAGTGTAAAATTTTCAATAAAATTTACTTGAATACAAACTACATATAAATTATTCAACTTTTTACAGTTTGGGCGGATATGGTCGATTTTGGGTGGTTTTTAGAAAAAAATTGGGCTGAAATAAAAATTTCAAACGGCAACACTGGTTGTGTGTACGAGAGGGCACATCAACCCCTATAGGGTGGAGGATAATTTTGATTGATTGAATTATCTTCTCTTCTTAAGTTTTGCTGTAGTACTCTTCGAAAGTATGAAAAATTAGAAGAGTTATTTCTCGAACAGCGCAGAAACAGTGACTACAAATATGTATCGAAGATTTAAAATATTAAGGTTGGTCAAGGTATTGTCTTTCAAACATAGAACAAGTATAACAAGTAAAAACCAGTAAGGAAAAGTCAAAAGTCGGGCGGGCCCGACTATTTTATATCCTACACTACTGCACATTTAGTAGAGCTCTCATAACAAAAGAATTTATTTCAAGTAGATCATATCCCCTATCAACATTTGGTTTTAGAGTAGTTATAGTTTGGTTTCAGGGGGAACTAATATAGGGGAGTCATATCTGATTCTAAATCCATTTTCACTAAATTTGACGCAGACGTTTTAATCTTAAATACCAAATAGGATTGCTATAGAGTGCATGATATCACTTGGAGAAGGATTATATTAAAAACAAGTAAAACCAGTAAAGTAAGTCTTAAAGTCGGGCGGGGCCGAATTTATGATACTCTACAACACTTTGCTAATTTAGTAGAGCTGCGCAAAACAATTAAAAGTTTTTATGGGAGAATTCAATCATACACGCTATGATTATAATTATAATTTATGGTTCAAAGAACTTAATATGCCGAAGCATTTGTATCTTTTAAATTCGGACTTGTATTGCCCATTTGGTGCACAATTAATTTGAAATCGGATAAAAATATATATGGGAGCTATATCCAAATCGGAACCGATCTCGATAAAATTTGGCAAATATATTTCTGAGCTGTATTTGATATATTTCCCTGAATATCGTTGTTACGGAGTGCATATTACGGCTGTGGGTAACAAATATGACAAATCGGATGAACAGTATATATGGGAGCTATAGCTATATCTGAACCGATCTTTACCAAATTTGGCATACGACCTTCTAGACTCAATTCGGTCGAAAGTGCCAAATTTCATCCCATTTGGGCAAATATTAGACGTTTGGTGCACAATCAAAGGTAAATCGGACGAAGTTTTATATGGGAGCTATATCCAAATCGGTCTCGATAAAATTTGGCAAATATAAAAAATCTCGATAAAATTTGGAAAATATATTTCTGAGCTGTATTTGATAAATTTCCCTGAATATTGTTGTTACAGAGTGCATATAAAGGCTGCGTAGGACAAAAATAACAAATCGGATGAACAATATATATGGGAGCTATAGCTATATCTGAACCGATTTCGATCAAATTTGGCATACTTATTTTCAGGTCCAATCTGATTCCATACTATTTGGACTGATATCACACGTTTGGTGCACAACCAAAAGCAAATCGGACGAAGATATATATGGGAGCTATATCTAAATTTTGACCGGTTCGTCCTTGGGCCAAACAAATGATTTGTGCAAAATTTCATCTGGATAGGGCAATAAATGCGAACTGTACTTTGTTTACGAAAATACATGGACAGACGGACGGACGGACATGCATAAATCGACTCAGAATGTGATTCTATGCAGATCATCAAAAGGAACTATGGGTCTATCTCGTATCCTTTTGCCTGTTACAAACAAATGAACAAAGACATAATACCCTGACCACCTCGTGGTGTAGGGCATAAAAAGCTCTAAGTTCAGCCGGGGCGAACTTTGAATACCTCCACTATTTGGAACGAATTTGGCAATTCTCAAAAACAATAAAATCCGTTAAAAATTCTGTTAAAATCTAAAAAATGCCGAATGTAGCTATTATATTTGGGTCTATACGACGACATGAACCTGCGTAGGGAACATTTGACATAAGCCACTACAATATTAAAAAAGTCGGTTATAATGTCGATAAAATCAAATTACCGAATATTGGGAGGTACCGTTATATGGGGGCTCTACGAAGACGTGGACCTGCACAGACAATTTTCTGTCTTAGGCTGTAGAATCCATTTCGAACTTCAAATACCAAATTTGAAACAATTCCGGTGAATAATGTCGTTAAAATCATGAAAATACCGAATATCGGTAGGTACCGTTGTATTGGGGCTATACCAAAACGTGGACCTAAATGGCCCATTTTCAATACCAAAAGTCCTGCAGACATAACATACATTTGAGCAAAGTTTTATCTAGAGTGCTAGAGTGATTTCCACAGACGGACGGACGGATAGAATTTTATGCTGATCAAGAATATATATACTTTGTGGGGTCTAAAATGTGTATTTCGAGGTGTTACAAACGGAATGACAAACTTAATATACCCTCCATACTATGGTGGAGGGTATTAAAATATATATCGGAGCAGAGTTGCACAAAATGGAAGGAAACGTACGTCCTGAATTCACTCCATTTGGGCTGATATTGGCCATTATTTGCACAATAAACCTGAAATCGGATTGAGGATATATATATATAGGAGCTATATCTAAATCTTAGCCGTTCTCAATAAAATTTGGCAAAGTATTTCCGACCTTTATAAGATATATTGTACCAAACATCGTTGTTGTCGAATGCATATTACGAATGTGAGGAACTTAAACACAAAATCGGATGAAACATATATATGGGAGCTATATCTGAGCCTATATTCTCCACATACTTGCTTCTAGAGTGAATTCGGTCGGATGTACAAATATTCAGGAATTTTTAACAGATATTGGCCATTTGGTACACAATTAACCCGAGTCGGTGGAAGATATATAAAGGCACAGGTATTTCCGGGCTCTATGAGATATCGGGTACCAAAGATCATTGTTGTCTAATGCATGTTACGAATTTGAGGGACTTAAACACCCAATCGGACGAAACATATATATGGGAGATATAGCTATATCTCAACCGAATTTTACCAAATTTGTGCCGGTCAGATGTGTTAAAATTCAGGTAATTTAGATTGATATAACCTTTGGTGCACAATTAACCCGAAATTGGTGGAATATATATACATATATGGGAGGTATATCTAAAATTGAACCGATTCTCATCAATTTATAATTGTAGCATGTAGAGCAACAGCAGAATCAAATTTTGGTCCATTTTAACCCCTAAATAGTGTATTCTGACCCTAACCCCACCTCCATTTTCAATTTCGTGGAGATCGGGCAATAATTGCGACCTGTAGCTTGATTACAAATTAATATGGACAGGCGGACGGAAACACATAGCTTGATCGACTCAGCTCGGCGAGATAGGAAGATCCGTATATGGTTCCCTATGTCGGGGACCTATTTTTCGAGGTGTTACATAGTTCTTCGCCCAATCACATTTATAATACTCCCAACACATAGTGTTGTAGGGAATAAATATGGTGTTATGGCGGCCCACACCATTACCATGGCCGGCGCTTGAGTTCTGGTGGCCAACCGAAGGTGCACATTTTCAGCTGACCTCTTAGGCAAGTAAACACGATCATTTTGTTGTTTACAAACTGCTGGAAAACGAATGTTTTCTCATCGAAAAAAACCAAATTCGGCAGTTCACCACATTCGGCCAAACGAAGCAACTCTTTAGCTCTTTTGAGTCTATTGTCTTTCTGTTAAGGTATAAGTTCTTGCACTTTTTGGAATTTCAGTAGCTTTACCCCGAGCTCACTTTGCAATATTTGTGGAATATTGCGATATGTTCAGCTCATGAGCCATTTTTCGGCTAATGCGACGTGGGTTTCGATCAAGTCGCTTAAGTCGATAAATGCTGGAGTGCTCTAACGATGCTTTTGTACGCGTGTAAACAATATAAGAAGCTGTTACTGGAATAATTTTAACAGCTGTCGGACGAGTGGCTTAGAAATGACAGCAGTCTGAAGTTGGATGCAGTTTTTTCATCTCAAAATTCTCAAATTTCATCTTAATTTACCAATTCATGGACAGGCGAACGTATATTTATGAAAATTGCCTAAAAGAACTATGGGTCCATCTTGTTCCCTTCTGTAGTTTACAAACAAAAGCCCAAGGACATATACCCTGCGCCACAGTGGGGTGTACAATTAATTCTAGAACCTCTTCATCAGGCCTTCCAAAATTAATAGATTTTCTATTTTTAAAATAACCAACCCTTTTACTATTTTTGTTACAATTAGATCTTCCTCACCCCTTAATGCTACAAATTCATCAAAAAACGCCCTACTGCTATAATCAACAGCCAACCTGGTCTAATGGTGCTGTCCATTCGCACACAACTAATTATTGTTGGCACGTGTTCTGTCGGATGGACGACAAAACAGAAAAACAAGACAACGGTCGTCAGAAGCAAAAAAAAACATGACCACAAATGAAAACGAATGCCGTCAAACAACACTAAACTAATTGAATGTGATGTGGTTGGTCGTGTTTTTATTCGAAATATGTTGGAAACGAACATAACACAACATGTTGTCTGGTGTATGGCATGGCAATAGAAAACCGAAAATGGGGAGGGAATGAATAGTTGAGAGTGAGAGAAAATGAATTTGTTAGCATATTCAACTCTTATACTTTAAGGCAGCGCAGCATTTCTTCTGCATGTCATTGTTTATTGTTATTTTTGTTATGAATTTGTTTGGGGGGCTGCGGCTGCTGCCTCTATACAGCAACGTTGCTGAGAGGCAGCAAAACAAACCACACAGTAGGTATTCATTCGATACAAGTATCTATGAGTTCGTGCCAGCCATCCAGCTCTGCCACAGTTGGTATGGCGTTTTGAATCTCTTCAATGAATTTGAAGTCTACGTGACGCACGACGACAGAGCTGTAGCCTCATAACTGCTGCCTGCAACTGCAGCGCCGGATAAAACATTTGTAAACTTTGAAAATTTGGCTATTTGTGCGGTGGTATTGCTGTTGGACGTAACTAACATTTATAACGCGCTCCGAGTTCGGTTCGGGTTTTTATTATTATCGGGATTTGTCAGTAACGGTACGGTACGTCTTCATCGGTCATTGTTGTCATCGTAGTCGTCGTCTTCAATTAAATGTGGCTGGCGCGCGTGAATTTAATGTCAATCAATAGAGAGTCGGCTTCATAACACGGCGCGGCAATTCAAGTTGGTCGAGACAATACGTTCGAAAAAAAAAAAAACAAAACGAAAAAACCCAAAAAAATCGAAATTCGGTTAATTGATTTCAAAACAATTTTGAATGTCATTTCCTACTCTCTGTAGAAAAAAAAATTCAGTGTAACCGAACAAAAAAGGCAAACCGATAAATACCAAAATTGTATTGAAAGAAGAAAGAAAGCACAACAAAAAAAAAAGTATGTGATAAAATTAGAAATTATACGAAAAAAAGTCATCAGCTTATTTCAAAACAAAATGTACAGAATCATGTCACGTCTAATTATTTTTTTTGTTTTTTTTTTTTTTTCGAATACCGCCAAGTGTAACAGATAATGAAAATTTCATCCCGAATAAAATTGAAAAAAAAAAAAAAAGAATTCAACGTGAAATTTAATTGTTTCTGGTTTCCAAACACATTTATCTAATCTTATCATTTATAAAACAAAATATTGTTTACTATACGCAATACTAAAGAAAATTTGAAACAAAAAATCAGAGATAATACAGTCGACTCTGCATAATGGTGATTTGTGAAATTTTTATAATTTAAAGGGTGTTTAAATCGGCAGATAAATTGTGAAGTAAAAATTAAAAAAAAAATGAGAACTAAAATAAAGCTGCCAAAGAAAAAAATTCGGACGTTTGAAAACAATCGATTACATATACACGATTAATATGAAATGCAAAAGCACTAATAATTGCTCTGTTCCAGTTTCTGCAAGAACCTACTATTTTGGCAATTTTATTCGATATCATAACGGGAAATTCGGTTATCGTAGTAAAAACTTCTACATTCTTGCAGTTCTGAAACAGACCAAATAATATTGAGTGAACATGAAGTCATTTGATAAATGTTATTATAATGCCTATTAATGAAATAATTAAAAAACAGTATTTTAAGATTTTCAAAAGAGAAATATTGGGATTCTTTTCTGATTACACCGTGCGACAAAATTTAAAATTTACAAAAAAAAAACCCCATTCAATTATGAAATTTGAACTAAAAATAAATAAAATCGTATCAGTCGATTTTGCCGACAGATGTATACCCCCAGCCTTGAATTATGATTATTTAAATTATTGACCCTCCAATATTGACCAATTCGTATCTGACCTAAGACTGAAATAAATATTATATGTGGCAGATTTTTTACTATATCGACCAATATTGAGATATGTGCAAATTTTTGGAAAATGTGGAAATATACGTTAGGTAACGGATATAGCGGACCAAAGTATTCCATTTCCATACTTCATCTAATACAAATAAAACCAGTAAAGGGAGTCCTAAAGTCGGGCGGGTCCGATTCTATGATACCCTACACCACTTTGTTAATTTAGTTGAGCTCCACATAACAATTAAAAGTTTTTATGGGAGAATTCAATCATACACGCTATGATTATAATTATAAATTAAAGTTCAAAGGACTAAATACGCCGAAGCATTTGTATCTTTTAAATTCGGACTTGTATTGGACATTTGTTGCAAAATTAATTTAAAATCAGATAAAGATATATATGGGAGCTATATCCAAATCTGAACCGATCTCGATAAAATTTAGCAAAGGTATTTCTGAGTTGTATTTGATGTATTTCCAGAAATATTGTTGTTACAGAGTGCATATTACGGCTGCGGAGGACAAAAAATACAAATCGGATGAACAATTTATATGGGAGCTATAGCTATATCTGAACCGATTTCGATCAAATTTGGCATACTTATTTTTAGGCATAATTTGGTTGTATGTGCAAAATTCCATACTATTCGGGCAGATATTACAGGTTTGGTGCACAATAAAAGGCAAATCGGACGAAGATATATATGGGAGCTATATCTAAATTTTTACCGATTTTACCGATTTTACCGATGGACGGACGGACTGACATGCATAAATCAACTCAAAAAGTGATTCTATGCAGATCATCAAAAGGAACTATGGGTCTATCTCGTTTCCTTTTGCCTGCTACAAACAAATACACAAAGACATAATACCCTGACCACCTTGTGGTGTAGGGTATTAATATTGATATGTGCAATATTTGAAATTAGCTTTCTTTGAGTGTTTTGTTTTTCAAAGTCTTGAACCCTATGTGGGCGAGGTACCAATTTTCTGATCAGGATTTTTTTCTATTTTTGGTAAATTTGAACCCCTAAATATTTTGCGATCATCTCCAAAAGCAAGAGGCCTTTCTGTGTCTCCAAATTTAGACTCATCTATATAATTTGCTTGTCTACGATATTTGGCTATATTCGTCAACGAAATCAGCATAAAAACCAGAAGTTCGCCTTTTGTGTATTTCGTATATCGCCTGTAAATAATGTTGGCATTTTTCACACAAAAGTAGTGGCCCATTCTACCCGCTGTCCTAAACTCTAACTTCTTGCGAGATTTCGTGTCCTTTGGTTTATATTTGTGACCTTTATAACGGCTGCAAAATCAGGAACATTTTGAGTTGCTGGTCCATTTCAACCTCTAAATATATTGCGGACATCTTTGAAAACAATAGGCTTAGCTCTTCTGAGCCTAACCCTACCTTTGTGAAAAATTTCGTGAGGATCGAACGATAATTGCAATCTGTGTATAAATAATTGCAACCTGTGTCGAAAAGTACAAAAAAAAATTACGAAATATTCACTTCAATATTATAAGTCAAATTGAAAAAATCGCATGCGATAAAAAATATGAAAAAATAAAAAAATGTCACAAAATACTACAAAATCTATATTAACATCATTATTGGCATCTTTTTATGCGATTTTTTTTAGATTTTATGCTTTTATGCCAAAAAGGCATTCTAAATTGACAAAATTTGTCAAAATCGGTTCAGTCATTCTTGAGATATAAGCATTCTACCTAACATCCCCTTCCTTTGTATATATACATTGTAAATATTTCGCTATATATATCCAATATTTTTACCATCGGCATTACGTAATGGTCAGAATTGACCTGTTCGTCTATTTGTGATTTCGCCGATATTAAAAATATTCGCGGTTTAATGGAAAATTTGACTTTTATTTATCACAAATGCTATGGTCTATTTCATCCACTAAATATTACCCGATGACCATCAAAATTGGAAAGCTTCTGCCCAGCCCAAAGCTCTAGCCCCATGTTAACTTTCTCTTCGATTGGTCTATAATTGTGACCTGAAGGGCAACTGCAAAATCAGGAAATTTTTCAGTTTTTGGTCCATTTCAACCCCTAAATATTATGCGATCATCTCCAAAAGAAATAGGGTTCTATTCTTACTCTAGCCCCACCTCCATTCTAAATTTCGTGAAGATCGGGCCATAATTGCGACCTGTAGAGTGATTACAAATTAACATGGACAGACGGACGGACGGACATACATAGCTAGATCGACTCAGCTCGGCGAGATAGGAAGATCCATATATACTTTCCTATGTGGCAAGCCAATATTTCGTGGTGTTACATAATTTTTGGCCCAATCAAACTTATAATACCCCCAACACATAGTGTTGTGGGGTATAAAAATATTTTCCCAATATTTTTTTTTATCAAAATATATGCAAATAATTTCGTGATATATATTGGAAATGAAGATTTCTTGTTTGTTGTGACTTATAGTGCAATATGATGAAGAATATATCATCCTTCTTAACCGATATGTTAGAGGAGAGTTTTGAAGAAAGGACCAAAGAGGCCCCTTGGATGACAACCTTGATATTGAAAATATTTGACCACAATAACCCTTATATTTGTATCGATACTATTGCCGAAGGTACTATAACAAATGTAAAAGAGGGGGGAACTTGGCCCCGTATATTCAGGTTATTTTTCATGTCAACTTTCCAAACGCTGATAAATTTGTCTTCTATTTTTTTGCTGTATTTTCTGGTAATTATTTTTTTGTGTTGCACAGTGTAATTTAAGTTATTTAATAAATTCCATTCATAAAATTGCAAGAATTTAGATTTTACTGTAAGTTTGATCCTCTTATTGCTAGAAGCGAGATATAAGTAACGTTTCGCAAGAGAATAATATTTGTTCTTTAGGCTCCAAGTAACGTGAAAGCATAACGAATGTTTGTCTTCAAAGACAAAATTGAATTATCAAATCAATGTTTTGCTACAATTCCATGTAGAAATTTAAAGAATTTCACGTTGGTGAGATGAGTGTGTGTGTAACACAAAACATTCTTCTTAGGTATTGTCTCCTTGCTATCCATTTTAAAGTGGAATATAAACAAACAAAACATACATATTTTGACAATTGTTTGTTTATTTCTTACTTTTTTCGGAAATCTAATGGCAAACAAGAGCAATAAACAACAACAACAACGTGTATGAAAGAATGACTAGGAGCGGTATTGGTGATATCATATTCCGCATAAATACAGGGTGAGATAAAAAAATTGCAACAAAGTCAAACGCCATATTTTTAAAATGTTTATAACCTTCACCATACTATGGAGGGTATATTGAGTTTGTCATTCCGTTTGTAACACCTCGAAATATACATTTTGGACCCCATAAAGTATATAAATTCTTGATCAGCATAAAATTCTATATCGATCACTCAAGCTTCCGAACGAAATGAAGAAACTTGATAAAAATGTACTCAAATGTGTATTATGTCTGCGGACTTTTGGTATTGAAAATGGGCCATGTAGGTCCACATCTTCGTATAGCCCCCATATAACGGTACCTTCCGATATGCGGTATTTTGATGATTTTAGCGACATTATTTACCGGAATAGTTTCAAAATTGGTATTTGAAGTTCTTAATGAATACTACAGCCTATGACAGAAAATTGTATGTGCAGGTCCACGTCTTCGAATAGCCCCTATATAACGGTACCTCCCGATATTCGGTATTTTGATGATTTTAGCGACATTATTTACCGGAATTGTTTCAAATGTGGTATTTGAAGTTCGTAGTAGATACTACAGCCTATGCCAGGAAATTGTCTGTGCAGGCTTATAATAAAAGTTGAGTATGCAGGTCCACGTCGTCGTATAGACCCTAAAATACGGCTACATTCGGTTTTGTTAATATTTTAACAGAATTTTTAGTTGATTTTAATTTTTTAAAAATTGCCAAATTTGTACCAAATGGTGGAGGGTATTCAAAGTTCGGCCCGACCGAACTTACAGCTTTTTTACTTGTTTTTTTTTTAATTTTGTTGAATGGAAGCAAAAAATGTCTGAAATAGCATCAAATTGTAGAAT